TATTGTGCAATATTGACTTTGGAAGGAACATTGTATCTTGGGAGACAGATGTCTATATTCCCCGTTTGCACTTTATTAGGGGACGAAATATGTCTTGAGGACATTTGCTTTTGCATATTTTGCTTCATCTTCTGCATTTTTTTCTGTTCTCTTTATTTCTTCTTTTGATTGTGATAGTTGCATTTTCAACAACAATGGGGGCATACTACTAAGATTTGCGAGTACTTACCTAAGCATTCTGTCCAACATGATGAAATTCTACAAGCATGGTTGCTTTTACTCTAGACAACTCAATTACCGATAATGAATGGACATCTGATACAGAAGGTTCAAATCATATGGCAGGTAATGCAGGTATGTTGAAAAACTTATGCCTGTATTTAGGGACATATTCCGTTCTAATTGGAGATGACATTTCCTTAACCATTAAAGCTGTAGGTGATTCTTATATTAAAATTAACTCAACTGTCATCTCTCTTCATAATGTTCTACATGTTCCCCATTTAGCAAAGAATTTTCTCTGTAAGTTAGCTCAGAGATAACTATCCCTTAAATTGTGCATGTTCTAATATGTGTTAAGGAACGAGAGATAGATCACGAAGTGATGACAGGAAAAGGCAAGGGTGATTTGTATGTCCTTTTCAGTCCTCATGAATTGCGTTACTCAAATCGATTTAGATTAGGCACTGTAGAAGTATGGCATGAACAGCTAGGACATTCCCGAGCATCCGCACTTCAATTGCTTAAAAATAAGGGCTTGATTCAAGTTCAAGGAGTTAACAAATTACAATCTATTTGTGATAGTTGTCAGTTAGGCAAATGGAGCAAAATGCCTTTTTATTGTTCTAAAAACTCTAGGTCAACTATTTTTAATGAAGCCCACTATGATTTATGGGTCGAAAGACTCTTTTATCTCTTAGAAAATTTTGCTATTATGCCTGTCTAGAAGATGATTTCTCACATTATACTTGGATAATACCTCTCAAAACTAAAATTGATTTTTTGTTGCTTATTTAGGGTTTGAACATTATGTAGTACGATAGTTTGATACAAAAATAAAAATCTTTCACTCTGATGGAGGTGGTCTCATCTCTCATTTTCAAGCGCACGGAATAGTTAATCAAATTTCTTGTCCTTATACTCTAGAACCAACATGTTTGGTTGAGTGTCGTCGTAGAATGATTCTTGAGCTAGGTATGACCATGCTATTCATTATGGTGCACTTTATACTTATGGTTGGAAGCTTTTACACCTACAGTTTTTTTACTAATAGTGGTGGATCGTGCGTTGCACAATGACTACTATAATTTTGTAAGAGATTTCTTTGTAACGACAATATATTTTAAAACAAAAAAAGTTTAATTATATAGTGTCAATAATGTGA